TTTTTTTTTTTTTTTTTTTTTTTCATATAGATCTTTGTGATTATCATTTCTTAATCTGGTGTGATTATGACATGATTGACGATTAAAAACTGTGTTGTAGCCACAGAATTCTCTGGCAAAGTGTTTAATGTATAAATGTGGAAAATTTACTCATCTTATGTCAATTAGTGGAAAAGTCTCAACTTGGAGCTTTTCAAAGTGTTTAGGAAGAAAAGTAGAGGAAATAATGGATCTACAATAGGTTATAGCTTTTAATTTTTTAGGCCTTGTTCGTTTGGCGGATTCGATTTTTCAATTCGAGTTGAGATGTGATATTTTTTAAGAGTTTTTAACTCTAATAAAAAAAATTAGATGTGATATTTTTTAAGGGTTTTTAACTTTAAAAGCTTAGAAACTAAAAACTCGAATCGTTGAAATGAACGAGTCCTTAATTATAAAGCATCGCGGTTGATTAGAATATTAGATGAGAAGGTCTGATATGACAGTGTTGAAAGGGATCAGTAAATGTGTTTATAAAATAAATCTTGTGATTTAGGTTAAACAACTGAGACAGATTCTTAAGTTCCTAAAGGCTAATGCTTTGTAATTGGAGATGTGTGTTTTGATTAGCTGATAAAAACGGCAGCTACTACCATATAGAGTGCATAATTTATGCTTAAAATATTTCAAAAGTCTGATACTAAATTGAATAACCAGATCTTTTTTAGTAATACCATCAATCTTCATCACCAGGAGCTATAATACGTCCATGTGATATGGTATTTGGTTTGTAATTATTGGGTGCTAGAAATTTTTTCTTTGGCTGATTTTACAGCATGAAACACAACTTATTTTGCATTTTACAACTTACAAGATATACTAAAAGGGTGTTCACTTATGGTTTCTCAGGCGAGTGTATCATGTGAGGTCTATGTAAATACAAACAACCAGACTATAGCCCGTCAAGATTGCTACCCTGAGGTGAGAATTCTTTTTTTCCTTCCTTTTTTTTTTTTTTTTTTCATTTGATGTCGTTAAGCTGCTTTTCTCTACGAATCTCATTGGTCGAACTTCGTGTTTTCATCATCCTTTCGTAACCTTTTATATTATTTATGAAATGATGTTCGTAGATCATGTTGAATTAGGGCACGCCCATCTTTTTTGCAAACAAAGGTGCTTACTAGTCGGATTGCATCTTGTATGAAGCACCTTATGCTTTGAAGTTATCTTACTTTAGTCTCGTTTTTTATGTCTTTTCAATTCTCTCATTAGAAACAAAATCTTTGGATTATTCCAATAGTTAACACCGTCATTTTTCATGCACCATTGGCAAATGATTTGATCATATAAGGAGTTGGTTTAACTTTGAGGTTTCCTTCTCTATTGCTAGACTTGCTCTGTGATTCCATCTTGATTTGCCTCATACACCTATAAGTATAATACTTTACTAATGCGCAAACCGGTCTCCCATTTTATGCAGTGATGGTGGTAACAAGGCTAATAACTCTAATGGAACTTCTCATTTACATTAAAGCTGGATGCAGCGTTAAGAGTTGAATCTGGAGGTGAATGCAGTGTTATGGTTGCAGTGAACCCCTCTATTACCCTTCAACTTAATAGTGTGTTAGGCCGGTGCTGAAATTGGAGAGAATTCATTTGAATTTTATTTATTAAAAAAAATTATGAATTCTCTCTCTCATACTTGTATATATTCTACACCCTAGAGGACTCTCGTCTCTGAACCTAGTGATGAAACATTTGTTCATAAAAATTGAGGTCACATTCATTTCACCAATTCACCAATTTAAATTTTGTTACAGTAAAAAAATTTAAAAAATAATTACATTTAATTTTTTTATTACAATAAAAAATTTTCATATAAAATTACATCTCAATTCAAATTAAAAATTTAAATAACGAATTAAACGAATGTCCAGAGATTTCAGTGGAAATGACTTTTTCTATATTCGGGATAATATATTCTTTTGCAGTGTCGATATGATAAAGCAATAATACAGCTTTCTTGGCTTTAGTATCAAGCACAGAGTCTCATCTATACGGTTATGGCTCATGAAATGTCAGGTTCGAGTTTGTTGTAACAGTTGATTCTAATTATAAAGGCTGAGTTGTGCCTTTTTAATGCATGAGGAGGTGAACAACATGGTACACTACAGATAATCCGCATTTATTTGATTTGTCCTCTGTCTTTTGATGGGACATGTACTTATATGCCCACAAAGAAAGTTATCAATACCTGTGAACCAATGAAGACTTTAAGGGCTGTTCCGCAGGATTAAAACTAATGAATTTTATTTAAGTTTATGTTTTTTAAGTTTGAATTCGAGTTTAAATTTAAATTTGAGATTAAAATTTGAATTTAAATTTTTATTTTAATTTGAGTTCAGAAATTCAAACTCAAATTAATTAATAGTATTTTTTTATTTTAAAAATATTATAACTTTTTCGTTTTAATCTTGATTGGGATTTTTTTTTCTATGCGTTAACAACGAAAAGACGAATAAAATCTCACCTATATATCATATTAAAATTTTTCATCATCATTGAGTTTTTATTAAAATACTATTTAAATACAAATTTAAGTTTTGACTTATTCAAACACAAACTTAAAAAAAAATCTTTATCTCAAACCATAACTCAAATGTACACAACCAAACACAAACTCAAGTTATAACTTCAACTCAAGTTATAATTCAAATTTAACTCAAGAACTACACTCAAATCACACCCTAAAAAAACAGGCCCTTAAAATTCCACTTTGAGTGGCTTATCGATCACCACTAATGCATTGATCTATATAGCTGTCGGTCGTTACCTTCAATATGGCGTTTTAAGAGTAGATTGATACTTCTAAGAGCATGAAAAATCGTGGTGATATTTCTGTTTATTTTTGCATTCTATTATGCTACATGACAAAGTCCGGTTCTTGTAGACAAGTAATTCGCCAAAAGAAAAAGAGAGAGAGAACGTGTACAAAACAGCCCCCATTCAGCAAATGGCCCACATTAGGCTTGAAATTATTGACACCAAAAGTCACGTCGTAGATGGTCGTAGATGTAACCTTATGGTGTCATTCAGTTCACAGATTTAAATTTTTAATTTAAGTTGAGATGTGGTTTTATGAGATAATTTTTCACTGTAAAAAACAAAAATTAGATGTATTTTTTGAGAGTTTTTAACTGTAATAAAATTAAAATTGAAAACTCGAATCAAATGAGCAATTTAACTTATGTAATTTCACATCTAATTTTGTGGTGTCATAAGGTGTAGATTTTCATTCCCCATGTCAAATTCAATCGGAAAATAGCGCCGTAATGTACCAGTCTCCTCCCATCAAGGTGATTGGGGGAAACTTAAAAATAATCCCCAAGACAAAAAGAGAAGCAAATTATTGAAAGAAACAAAACGAAAAAAAAAAAAATGATTTGAACATTGGCAATAGCTAATTAACTAGCTCACGAATTTATCAGCTTTAAATCTGATTCATTCATGGCAAAAGCCGACACATAGAGCAGAAGACACAGTCACAGTCTGTAAGATAAACATCTTTTCTTTTTTTTTCCCCCCCTTATATCCTTTTTTTTTTTCCTCTTTCCATTTCGTTTTCCTTTTGTACATTTTGCATGTAAAACTCTCCTAATTACTCGACCCTGTTTCTCACAACTCGACCGGTACCCCATGCATACTCGCCGAGATGTTGCCTGCACCGGAACGACCCCGGATGCTGCGTCGGCGAGCACAAGCAGTAGCGCTTTGCCGCGCCTCCACCGCCGCCGCGGCCGTCTCCAACCGCAAAACTCTCTGCATGCACATGATTATCCGCCACTACCGCCGCCATGTTCGCCTGCAAAGCATACCATCTACGGCGCACAACCAAGTCCCTATGGCCAATAACCGAAGCCAAATCACCCGAGTAACACATATTTTTTCTTCTTCTTCTTCTTTCTTGTGGTTATCTCTCAATTGTTATAGTTAAAAGAGGAAAAAGAATATGAGCAAGAACATATTATATAGCAAGGAAAGGAACAAACCGAAAGGAGAGTTGGCTAAGTAAAGCTAATTATTTGGCATAAAGAGCTTTTTGGGAGGGCTTGATTCCTTCTTTGAAAGGGTTTGCTTTTTGGTAGTATAGCTTTTTACGAAGAGGGCATATAAGCATTTATGCAAATGACTTATTTTTTGTTTTCTTCTGTTTGCGTCTGTGTTCGTTAACATGACGAGACTTGTATATGCAATGAGCCAAACCACGCCTACACTCGGCCAAAACTTTAGGCCTAAAATTAAAGTTTTGTGATGAAGATTCATGGGGTGTTTGTTACTTCTAGGTTTTGGCCCACCACGATTCCCAATGAGGATTAGATGCTACTTCGGTTCTGTTCTGTTCTGCCACGTCAGGTTGGTTCCTCCACGTGTACGCATTATGGTGGTTCTGACTCTACCAGTGGTTCCCTTGTGCTTCTGTTTTTAGCGGCAAAGTATATCGGAATTTGGTAGGAAAATAATCGGATTACCATTGGTGTATCTATTTGGTAAATTGAAAGGAAGAACAAGGGCATTTTCTTATTCTTTGAATTTATGTGAATCCCAACTTTTTTCAGTAATTATCAAATTCTAATTTGAGTTTAGAGGGTTAGGGTTTGCAAATATAATACGGTTTCTCATATAGCAAGTTGGAAATTAGGAGAAGTACCATAATACATGGTAAAGATTTTTCAAATCAAATTAGGGATTTTCTTTGGTATAATCTCTCTACCAGTAGCGTAATTTTTAACTGTACATCTAGTCAAAATTACATCAGATAAAAAATTATACATAACAAATAGTTTTTTTATATAAATCTGATTGTTTAAAATAAAAAATTACTAGTAGTTCGTTTTTTTTTAGTCTTACCAGAGATACTCCTATCAAATTAACATTGTATTTGTGTGATTTTTTGAACTTTTGGTTTTTCAATAATTTAACAGAATAAAAATAGTTTTCAATATCAGATTAATTAGTAGTTAATTAGTGTGCCTTATTTAGCCAAATTCTAACAAACTACGAGTAATTTTCAACTTATATTTATAATAAATATTGTGGGCACGCACACGCACATGCACATAGTTTTAGTTTATGGGAAAGGGAATTGACGTGAGTACATTTTGTGCTTGAAAATTGACGTGAGTACCTAGAACATTACGAGCTAAGTCATAATTTAGTATAGGAAACCGATGTGATTGTGAGGTTAAAACACGTGAAAAGCAAGAATAAAGAGTATGAGAGATTGAAGTCTTGCGCAGTTTGATGATGCTAAAGTTAATTAACTTATTAATTAAGGTCTTTTTCTAATAGGGTAATAGATAATTAATTTTTGATCATTAGATATGTTCAAAATCACATCATAATAAAAAAAATATACAAAACATATAATTTTTAATAAAAATTTCACAGTTGAAAATAAATAATTGTCGATATTTTTTTTTTTTCTAATTCTACCTAAAAAAAAACTCTCTATTAATCCATATAGATTATGAGGGCAAGTCTTAGAAAAGTGATGAATAACTTTGGGTGGTGGGTGGGCACCGATGGGTCTAGTTAGGCTTGGGCTTGAAGAATTTTTAGTGATGGTAGTGGTTTTCCAAGTCAGATTCTTTACCAAATTGGAGCACACAGAAGACAGCTTAGGTGGTGCCACGTCTTGATCTACACATGCACGCAAAAGAGGTATAAACCGATAAACAAGACCATTTGTTGTACGCATGTGTGTTTGTTTTGTCAGAAGTTCAAGAGGTAAAATTGTTATTTGCTTGCGTTTAGAAGAAAGATTCATGTTATGGTTTGAATTATGGTTCGTGACTCACTATAATATTTTTTTTTACAAAAAATATATGTAAAACGAGAATAGTTCTAAATTATGATTCTGAATCCAAAATTGACAAAGATAATGTAGAAATTTAACATGAAATTAAAATTCAAAATTACAATTTTGAGAACATTCAAATATGCTTTTAATAAGCATAAAATGCAGAGTATAAAATAGTAAATAAACCCTTTTGCATTAACTTCCAATAATGGCCCCACCCACTCATATGATCAAGGAAAAATTAGATTTGCAATAAGATGTCAATTAGATAACCACATAAAATCTAATCATAAAACGTTTATAATATCCATTATATCGCCTTGCTATTTTTGTTACCCTGTGGCCAAGAATGATAGGTGTTGATCAAGTCGGACCAATTATTGAACATCAAAATTGAATACCAGGTCAAAGGCACGGGAACCACAAGAGGTATTCCTCTACATGCATGCCCACCGTACTTCCCATGCATTTATTTCATTATAATCGACGGCTACAATCATCAAACTCCCTTCTGTCTTTAGCAATATTGATTAGGGGTGAACTTGGAATGGGTTGAGTTGGTTTTTGAGATTTTTTAACACGTCCAATTAAGTTTGGGTGGGTTAATTTTAAATTTAACCCACCCAATCAACCTAAAATTTAAAATCAGCTAACCCAATTAAAATTTAGATGAGTTGGGTGAGCTTATCGGGTTGAACATAATAAAGAAATAAAAAATAAATAAAATTAATCATTCAACTCAAAATTAGAAATGTATAAAAAGAAAACCAACTTTCATCATAATATTAATTTTATAAAGCTCTAAAATTATCACATAAGATATAAACTAATTACAACTAAAATATATGCAAAACAAATTCAAATACATAAGTTGTAACTTGTAAACCAACAAACAAGCAATAATAAAAACTCATATAATG